AACATTCACCATTAACCGAAAGAGAAAATTTTGAATGAAAACTTTTTGTTCGAAAATCGAATGTTAAATATGCTATTCAACCCAGTTTTGTCTGCTGATCTCAAATATGTTATCAGTTTTGCTTGAAAATATAACGTAAGTAAAAAGGGCGCAAAAGAAATGAAATGGCGAAGGTCAGAGGTGGGTATGTAATCCTTCTGACAAAAGTTTCACGTACGTTTTCTGGAATAGATTTCCGTGATTATTTTTTCATGAGTATAATGTACATTGGATGCAGATTCTATAACAGAAAGAGCGATCGTTAGTTTCTCACCCTCGATCTTCTACGTATGTTTCAATCGTGGGTGCTCGTTCTCAATGAATTTCCTGAACCACACAATAGTTAACCTTCATACTTTACCTAGATAATCCACAAACACTGTAGTATTCAGTGTGAATTTGAAGTCAAAATGATGCTCCTAGACTGACCTGTAAAGCTTTTTTCGTGAAGGGCCTCGAATTTTCAACAAAAAAAAGCGAACCTCGCCCATAAAATAGCTGTATTTCACTGACTACTAACAGCCGGCTCACAAAATTTTATATTGTAGATAGAGTAGAGTCGTAGCTACATTTTAGTAAAAAGAAAAAGTTTTCATCTCTCTTAGGTCAGGAGCTATTGATAATTTATGAAAAAGAGATAAATCGCTTATATCTCACGAACCATCTAGTAAACTAGGCCCAAACTTGGTGGATGCTCAGCATTCGATAAGAGCTATGACCACACAAAATTAGAAGTCCCTAGCTATCATGGTTCTTGAGTCACACGGGGCTCGCTACTTTTGCGGAGTACTGTAGTTAATATGTACATAACCATTTTTATTTTTATTTAGCGTGTTCGCTTAACAAAACGACCGTACTTACGACTACTACGCTCATTTGGTTGTCATGTATCATTTTTAAATATCGGATTTTATACAACATCTTTTAATCGTTTATTTTTTCGTATTGGTTTGTCGAATGCTCGTTTATGGAAAATATGGTTTACATGTGGAATACTGTGTGCATTTGTCACAGCAATAATTGCCTGTTTAACACTCTTATTTTTACCTTTACAATATTTTTATATCTACAATCAAAATCGTGCACAATCGATTGCTAGAACTGGAGCTAATCTTGTTCAGAATGCTGATAGTATAACATCGACTTATAGTGGAGGTAGCAGCGATACACGTAACAAAATGCTTATTCAACCAATAGTTCGTACTAGAAATTTAGTTTTCTTTGAACAAGATTTTATGTATCATATCAACATTAGTTTAGATTCCTGGTGTCAATGTACCATTAGAGCAATTACCTCATTTTTTTCTCGCTCTCTTAATTTGTACAGTACTTCATGAGTTTGGTCATGCTGTTGCTGCATCAGCGTATGTATTAATTAGTAATTCATAGTTGAAAATAAAATAAATGATTTTTGTTTTAAAACTTAGGGAACAAATTCGGGTAAATGGTTGTGGTTATTTTATATTTCTTTTATATCCTGGTGCCTATGTTGATCTACATCAAGAGCAACTTCAAATGATATCAGCTGTAAGACAGCTAAGGTAAAAAGTTATTTGTTTAAAAATAAAGAAATATTTTTCTATTTCTTTTTTTCCATTTAGAATTTATTGTGCTGGTGTCTTTCATAATATGGTTCTAGTTGCAATTGCTCTCATATTTTTGTTAATCAATCCTCTGATAATGAAGCACTTGTATACAGAGGCAGCCACGGTTTATAGCGTTTCAAATGTAAATTAGTATAGTGTAATTTCATTTATTTTGCAGTTAAAAGTTTACATTGTTTTAGTATTCACCAATACGTGATCTTCTACCATCATACTCCATAATTCGTTCTATTGATTCGTGTGCAGTTCGTACCCAAAGTGATTGGTATAGTTGTCTACGAATAATTAACGATCGTAATCCATTTTATCAACAACAACCAGGTTATTGTTTGACACAAGCTGAAATTCTAAATGGAAAAAAAGAAATAGAAAAATATTTNTATTGGTAATCACAGCTATAGAATAGTTTCAAAGAGTTTTTCTATCGGGCTATTATTTATTTTAGAATTAAATCAATCAAGCAATCATGACTGCTGTAAAAATATATCTGATACCAATTATTGTTTTCTTTATCATTCAAAACAATATCCAGATCTAGTGAGTTTTGTCTAGTGTTTTGAGGTCACTAAATATTCTGACATACTTAGAATTACGCACGAAATTTAGAGATCTGTTAAAAATTTTGAAATTTTCTTCTTTATCATTGTTTATACCTTTAGAATGGTGGATGTTTAGTGGCCAGATATGTCACCGATCATCCATCGTGTTTATTCAACAGTGATTGTCAAGGTGTACGACCCGATTCTTCGTGTTTACATCCATTTTCAGCTGATAATTATACACGTCTAATACGTATTCTTCACACTAAAGGACCACCAATATTATTTGTTGGTGATGTTCATGAGCTACATCGTTCCAGTACGTTTTATTATTTGAAAAACATACAACATTTTTCTTACAAAGTCATTTTTTCTAGTTCGTATCGAATCATACAAGCCAAATCTTTCCTATATTCCATTTGCTCTCATTACAGATATTCCACTCTTCTTCAAGTACGTATTCCTTCTGTCTACTGCCGATGTAAGATTACCAATGTGCTTTGACTCATAGATATGTTGGCGCATTTTCATTTGCATTAGCATTTTTTAATTCTGTTCCATGTTATGCTCTCGATGGTCAATATATTTTACAAGCATTTGTTGAATATATTTCACCTAGTTTATACAAAAGACGCAGGCTTAGTGTATTTTACGGAACAGTTATTGGCACACTATTGTTGGTTGTAAATGTGACTTTAGCTTTTATTCAATATTTTATATGAAGTGTGTTCGTCTTTTATACGTTTTTTTTCTGTAAGTGTTTCAAATGTTGTTACTGTTTCTTGTTTGTTACTCACTTCTATTTTTTGTAATGAAATAAATGACTCATATTAGTAGTATCGAAGACAATAATGTATTGATGCATTTCAGGTTCATCGACCAATTAACGAATATTATTTGAATTTCTGAATTGAATCGACATGAAAAAGTTTAAAGAACAATTCTTTATTCATTGACAAAATTATTTTTCTAAGATTTGATTTTAGAGTGACAAAGATTATATATTGCTCAGTTATGAAAAGTGAGAAGAAGAAAACCTTGTTTATTGCTCAATGGATTCTAATATTTATAGCATAGAATTTATAATAAGAATACGTCTTGACTTTGCCATTCTCGCACATGTAATGATTTTACAATGCAAAAGGATTGTGATTTACCATTTATTATAACAGCACACAGCTATGCTCCAGATGAAAAACTAATTCGATATGATGAATATCACACAATGTCAAATAGAAAAAATACTTCTTCTTTGACTCCTTTTGTGCTTAGAATTCGTTAATGTATACTCAACTGCTCCCAGTGCTACAGAATCGCAATTTAATAATTGTGGCCATACAAGGAATGAATATTTGTTAACACTGAAAAAGATGCTCGAGGGTACGAAAGTTGAAGACAATATTTTCATTTAATCGTTTTCCTCCAAAAAACAGTGTGCATAATAACGGGCGTTTTAAGCATTTAGCAAATGACAATAAACGATGAGCC